CATCTCCAATGAGACCACCAACTCGGAGGAGATCAACGAAAAGGTGTCACTCGCCGGAGTCTCCTCCGATGCTTCGACTGCACAACCTCCCACTGAAGATGAAAAGGCCATGGCACTCCTCGTTGACGTTGCCAATGCAGCCCTCGCCTCCTCTCCGAACCTCGTGGCTCGTCCCGTGTTGGTAGACGCACAGCCTGTCCCACCCAAAGTAAATGACGTCTTGGGAGAAATGTGGGATGAAATCAGCAAAGAATTGCGTGCCAAAAAGCTTGTCCGCGGCACGTTGTCTCGCGCTTCGACCCCTCCTCCTACCGTCTCCATCTCTAGACCCGAATCCGAGGACGAGGATAGTATCGTCGAAAAGATTAGAATGCCCAAACACCTGGCCATTCCAATTCAACGCGCACGTTCTCCTCTCTATCAAAAACTCTTTCCATCGGAAACGACCACATCTGAATTCGTGGCTGGTAGCCCAGCTATGAGTTACGTCACTGCCCAAATAAGTCCAGCCACCAGCTTTGTCACCGCCATTGAGAGGGGCTCTACCCCTTTGCCCGTGGAGGAAGGCAGAGCTCCGATCGTCGACTTGGGCTCTTCGCCTCCCCTCCCGTACTACTCTTTGCCATCCTCACCGCGTCGCCACCTGGCTTCTGCTCCTCTCCCCCGTCCGGCATCGCCTCAACCACCTGGCGCACTCGTGATGTACGACTATGAGAATGACGACGCTCGGGAGAATGTAGCACTTCTTCCACCAGCTCATATTACCCAGACGGCGTTGAATCTTGCATTGACGCTCCCAGCGACCGAATGGGTCTTCCAATTCATTGTCGTCTTTATTGGGTGGTTTGGATTTTGGATGCAACCGTTGCCTTCCCAAACTAGACGGAGGCGATAGATTGGGCTTGGGATCTTAGCGTGGCTCAGCCTCTATCGGAGAATGACGTCTTGGCAGCCTCGTTCACGACTATATTTACGCAAACAGAAAAAAACCTCATTATGAAAACGTGCCCTGAGTCCCACTCCATTGCCTGCAGATCTTCAAGGCATGGCTCAAGGGGACACACAGCACAACTGCTATTTATTGCATTGGTTATTCTCGGCAAACCATCTCAACCACCCCATCTCACCACAACACAACCTCATGGACCAAGTTTGGATTCCCTCTACTTTATACCACTCTCCTTTTTTGACCATCCACACATTCCTTGTCGTCATCTCATTTCCATCCCATGCGACTTAAATCATATTGATCTCCATCGCGAACCCTCTTATTTAGGGTAGTTTTTGACATCATCTTTTTTGCATAACACAGTATACATTCTTTATTCATCTACTTTTGAACTGTCATAAATTTAGCTTGGAACCCAAGCGTGAGATTCTTAGCGATCCTATCTATTTCCATGACCAAGATCTTGTGTCCGGGCTGGTGTGGCATGTTTGCGGCGTGTTCTCCAAGAGAGGGTTGGCGCCGTGCGGTGCCGCGTAAACGCTGAGAGATGGTGCCCTCTACGTAGTCTATGGCCTGTCGGCATATAAAAGAGAGGGTTATGGCCACGTAAATATACACCTAAAAATGGCTCCCCAAAACCAGTTACGATATACCGCATACTATTGCACTACTCCAAAAGAAGTCACCTTCGCCGAGCGGAGACCGGCGTACCCTTCTGTCGAGGAGAAAGAGTTGCTCGAACGCTGTTATCTAGTCCCGTCCCTTGTTCGAAATCCCAATAATCCCAATACGGATTCCTATGGCTGCGTCGACTTTTGGTCCATCCAGAAAAAGAAGGGCGACAATGTCGAGCGCTGGATGCCAGGGTATCCGATGAACGAAGTCGTGAACGAACGGTATGGCATTCGAAATCGATGGCTAGATCGTCGTTTAGACAAGAAGGATCGTGTCCAGTCCATGTATATCGCTGTACGTACTAGTATACCGTCAGAGAATGGAAATGCTCACTCGTCTACCAGTGGCCTGGACTACCCATCATCTACGTCTGCCTCGAATCACCTCTCAAGACCAGACACGAGATCCATCAATTCGTCACCGAGGTCTACGAGGATTACTTTGGATGGTGCGCCCGTACCTATCCATCTGCCGCTCCTTATGTTCGACGCATCTATGGTGCCCTCTATAGCATGAACCTCTTTCGATTGGTACAGCTAGCTTCGGGCCCATGGACCGTCGACCTTGTCTTTAGCAACCCGTCTCTTCTCTCCTTTTGGCCAAAGGGCTACCAAGAGAGAACAGACATGTCGCGCACTCTTACGGCCGGACTTCTTGGTATCAAAAAGCTAAAGAGTTGGGACCGGAAAGAGATTACCAGCTGGTGGTATGCTTCTGCCGGCTGAACGAAAGAGGATACTCCACTCAAATTTAAGATACCTTGACTCGTAATTCTGGATTGAATATTCTGTATTTCATATAGAGGCTATATGCTTAGTAGACATCATAGGACACGCTTGACTAATAGGCAAAAGTACTCATGTAATAAACTCTCGTCAATGACCTTCCACAATTGCACCGATTTGAGAAC